AACCTCAACCTGTCGCGCGCCATAGGGGACCTGAAGTATAAGACCAACCAGACGCTGGAGCCGAAGGACCAGATCATCACCGCGCAGCCTGACGTGCGGCGGGTGGCGCTGCAGCCGGAGGTGCGCCGGCGCTGCTGTGGGCCGTGGACGGGGGGACGTGCTTGGGCGGGGCCGGGGCCGCGTCCGGGGCGACCTGGGGGTGGTTTGCTTGCAAGGCCCCTGTCTATGGCCTCGTTTCCGGACAGCACACCTCTTCTGCTGTCATGACAGACTTTTTCACAACAGACCATGTGCCGCGCACGCCAAGCACGACCCTGCGCGCGCATGCACACCCCCACACACACACATGCACGCGCACGCACGCACACACACACACACACACATACACACACTCCCGCCCCCACCCCCAGGACGAGTTCTTGCTGCTCGCCTGCGACGGCGTGTGGGACGTCATGACCAACCAGGAGGCCGTACGCTTCGTCCGCGAGCGCCTGGCCGACGGCGCCGCCCCCACAGACGTCGCCTGCCAGCTGCTGGACGCCTGCCTGGCCAGCGACCCTAAAGAGGCGCGCGGCGTCGGCTGCGACAACATGACCGCGATCGTGGTGCAGCTGCGGCGCGGCGCCGGCGCGCCCGCTGCCGCCGAGGCGTGAGCGCTGCCGCGCGGCCGGCGGGCCGCTGGTCGGTGTTGGTTTTGCTGTCGGGCGCGGCGGGGCCGTGCGGACTGGGGCTGAGGTTTTGGGGCTGAGATTTTTGGGCCGCCGCCAGCGGCGGCGGCGCCGCGGGCCGCAGCCAGGGGCGCCCCGCTTTTTGCGCAGTATGTTCGTGCATGCTTGCATCAGGCGCGTGGGGCCAGGGGTCTCCATGAGCGCGGTCGCGGAGGCTGTGACACCGGGCGCGCGGCGCAGCTCGCCCCACTCTTCTTGTAGCTGGCTGTTTGTTCCAGCTCCTGTACACACCTCTATTATTACCTTTAGTGCCCGGCTCGCTGCGGCCGGGCACGCGGGACCTCTCGTGCATCCGCTGCGGCGGCGGCCCGCCCATCATCAAAGGCGGGCCGCGCTGCTGCCTCAGGCACTTGAGGGCTGGCGCTTCCCATGCCTTGCGAGGTGGGCCGCAAAACACTTCGCAATTTAGGCGCCACTCGCCTGCAGCAGGCATCCTCCCCGCTGCCGCAGGGCCTCATGTCGCCTGGCGCGCCTCAGGGCGCAGCCCAGGCCGAATCTGTTGGGCCGGTCCCTTGCGACTGCCGCCCTCGCGGGCCCGCCCGCCCACCGCTATCAACACGCATTCATCCGTCTGTTAGCACACGCCTGGCTTTTGCATTATCTCGAGCCCCCTCATTGGCCTGGGTCTGGCTGGGGGTTGTGTGTTGGACGCCCCCGCCACCAAACACCCGGACCTGCCGATTTTCTTGCCCTGCTCTCAATCCTGCTTGGCGCCTGGCCTGGCCCTGGTGCGCACCTGTAACCACTCATTGCCTCAATGGCAGCCGCAGCGCGGCTAGGGCGCGTGGCCGACGGCCATAGGCAGCAAAATTTACTGAGTGGTCCTCAGCAAACTGTGAGTGGCTCCAGCAGCGACAGCGGCAAAAACAGCTGCTGGCGGCGCGTTCAAATGCGAACACATGCGCCGTCATGGGCCTAAGGGGCGGCGCGGGCGGCAGCCAAGAGGCGGGGAAAGGGGCGTTTTTGATCGCTAGCTGATGACAGCCCGGCCACGGCAGCTGTCATGGGGCATTGACAAGTTTGCAGCAGCACGCGCGGCTGCAAGCACGCAGCTCGCAAAGGTAGCAGCCGTGGCTCGAGGGGACCTGGGTGCTGAGAAGGGGGTGGCACCCTGCACACACTGTGGTGGTGCACTCCAGGAGTCTTCCTCAGGGTTGACTGGATCACAGGCAAACACCGACAGTGGTCTTGGTCAGGGATAGGGGTCGGTTGCTCAATATCACAGGCGTCACAGCAGTTGTCGTTCACATACACCGACACTCATGAGGAGGGCTGCGTTTGCCAGTGCCGGTACTGCTGGTACTGTCGGGTGCCGAGCTGCAGACATCCGCCGTCTGTCTCAGCTTTGCCTTCGCCGCAGCACTTGTGCTGGTCGGGACCAGCGGGCATCAGATATATATGTATGTGATTCAGGGCATGTCTGTCCTCCGCATCGCGTCCCGAGTCACTCGCGGGCTTGGTTCAAAGGCCTGGGGCTTGCCATTTGGGGCTGTGCCGGTTATTATATTTATCTGGAAGTCCTTGAAGCTACTGCGGCGATTTCGAGACGATTCTCAGACGGGCTCGGACGTCGAGGAGGAGCCCCTGGAGGACATTTTGCTGCCTCCAACAGAGCGCCTTTGGGAGATGTACGACGAGGACGCGGTGGAGGGGCTGCACGCCGCCAGCGAGGATCCCATGCTGATGGCGGCCTTGATGCGCGAGTGAGCGCCGCTATTCCCTGCAGCCGCGGTCACTGCACTCAAGCTGGGCTGCTGCAGCAGCATCTGCAAGCGCCAGTGCTCTGCATGCGCAGCTGGATGCACAGCTTAGGACCTGTACTTTGTATACGCCCTCACCATTGCGAGCATCCATGACCAGTGAGAGCGCTGTGCCCATGCGTGCGCCACTCTAAATTGCCGCACCCCGGACACACTGCGCAGCCGTGGCGCCCGCCTCCTCTTGGGTGATGACGAGGACTCACAGCGGCGCAGCGGCGACGCCTGCGGAGTAGAAGCGGATGAAGTGATAGAAGGCCTGCTCGAAAGCGCCGCTCGCGCGATCCGCGGCGGCGAAAACCATGACGGTAACGATGGCAGCGGCAGGCCTAGTGCAGGCGCAGGGGCAGGGGCAGGCGCAGGCGCGCCACGGGGGCGTTTGCGTCAAGGGCCGCCGCCGCCGGCCGCCCCGCAGAGGGGCCCCGACGCGGGGTGGGGCGGCGGTGGCGGAGGGGACGCCGGCAGAGGCGGCAGCAGCGCGGGTAGCAGCAGCGGCGGCGGCGGCAGCGGGTGGGAGACGGCGTCTGAAGATGCGGCAGACCTGGCAGACGGCGGCCTGCTGCTCGCGGCCCACATGCGCGCCCTGCGCGTCAGCGGCCCCGCCCCCGGCCCCCGCGGCGCCGGCGCCGGCGCAGGGGGCCGCGCGGGGCCCGGCGTCCCTGTTGGCCGGCGGCGGAGCGCCGCCGCCGGGTTTGGCGCGGGCGGCGGCGGCCTTGCGCTGGACGGGTTTGACTTTGACTATGACCCGTTTGATGATATGGACCCCTTTGATGCACTCGGCTTTGACCCTTTGGGATCAGACCCGGACGACCCCTTTGGTCCCGATGACTTTGACCCGGAGTTTGACCCAGGGTTTGACTTTGACCGCGCTGCCGCGGCGCCCATTGCGGACGCGCCCACGCCGCCGCTGGCATGGGACGGCGGGGGGGCGTGGCTCAACGGCGCTGACGGCGCCGGCGGTTACCTGGATGACTACAGTGATGACGGGGCGGGCGGGTACGGTTACGAAGACTACGGTGATGCTGGCGGCGGCGATGGGATCGGGGCAGGAGCGTGGCTGCAGCCGGTGGAGCCGGGGGTGGCCCCGGTGGCGGGGGCGCCGATGGTGCGGCTGCAGCCAGAGCCGCCGAGCTAGTGGCAGCCGCTGTTTGTGGGGACCCCGCGCTTCCTGTGTTGAGCAGCGCGTGACTGGTATTGTTGGTGTCGCGGGCTCGACGCCATTCTTGTTGTGTGGTAGGTTGGCAGGACAGTGCGTATTATCATGTGTGTGTGGCACATATGCCTTCGGCGGTGCATGCAGCTTGACGGCTGCCCGCTCGTCTTCTGTGTGTTGATTACATTGAGCTGCTGGGGACGAGCCGCTAATGTGTGCAGCGCCAGATGCCTTCTGATTTGTCGCCGCGGCACAGCAGATCACCATGCTGACTTCGCTCCCCAACCTGCGGCCCGACCGCAGGCGTCAATTTTGGGCGACCGCCCTGAGCACCTGTCCTGTTGGTGGTGTCCCAGCCTTGCATCTTAAAGCTTCTCCTTAATTTTTTCTAAAATGATGCAATCAAGAGCGAAAGGAGTCATGTTATCGGATGGGAGGCGCATATGTTACAACAGGTTGGCCCTCGAGCTGCAGGCTGAGGGCATGCAAGGCAGCAGCCGCGATCAATTCAAGGCGCGGGCGCAAAAGAGGGGTTGGGGGCTCCCAGCCTGGCGGCAAGGAGCCGGTGACCTAGCAAGGTGGCGAGGGGACTGGCTACAAAAATCACGAGGAGGTGGGGTCAGGGAGGCGGGCCTAGCTGGCAAAGGGCGGCGCGAAGACGATGGAACATAAATTGGCCGAAAATTTCTGGGGGCTTGCGCCGGCCGCCGCGCTGGGGCCTGTGCACAAATGTGGGCCGCCCGCTTGGAGGGTCCGGGCCGCGGCGCGGGAGGTATTGTCTGGCCTCCCCTCTCCGTGGGCACCGCTGGCCGCATGGGGGCGCGCATGCGCCGCGGCGCGGCGCCTCGCGGCGCCGCATGCCCGGCGGCCCTACGCCGCCGCGGCGCTGGCCAGCATCACGACCCGCCCCACGAGCGCGTACGCCGCGACCATCATCATCACCATCACCACCACCTGCATGCGGTGCAGCCGCGCACGGAGCTCCACCACCGCCGCCGCCGCCGCCGGGCGGTCGCCCGCGGCGAGCCACCCGCCCCCGCTCCCGCTGCCGCCGCTGCCGCCGCCGGCGCCGGTCCAGAACCTTGGAAGGAGCGAGCGCACAAACTCGCGCGTGCTGGAGCGGGACATGTCGAGTATCAGGCTGCGGACTTCAGGAGAGCGCGACGCGTGCGCGCACGCCGCGACGATCCACGCTGCGGGCCCCGACGCCGCTTTGGGCGACGCCTGCGTGCCCAGGGCGGAAGCCGGCGGCGCGACGGCGGCCCCGAGCTGCTGCTGCTGCTGCTGCTGCTGCTGCTGCTGCTGCTGCTGTACCGCAGCGAGCGCCGCCCCGCGGCGCCGGCGGAGGGGCGAGAAGGGGTGGCGCAGGGTGAGCGGCGCCCCCAAGAGGGACGGCTCCGGCGTTGTCGGGCCGCTCTGAGGGGTGCTAGGGTCGCTGCCGCTGCCGCTGCCGCCGTCCTCGCCCCCCAGTGTGCCCGCGCTGCTGCTGCGGCTGCCTCGGTGCAGCAGGGGCGCACTCCCGGACGCGGACGCCCGCTGCTCATCGCAGTGCGCCACCCCATTTTCAACCTTTTGCTGCTGCTGCTGTTGCTGGTCGTCCTCCACGACAAGCACCTGCCGCTGACCCTGCCGCCGCGGGGCAGCAGCCCCCGCGCCTTCCCCGCCCGCCGGCCAGCTGCCGAGCGCTGTCCACATCTCGCGGCACGCGGCGCCCGACATCGCGCCCGCAAGCTCGGTGAGCGCCTGCCTATGCTCGGGCCGAGCAAAGGCGGCGAGCATGGGGCCATACATGTCGATGGCCACCGCTTGGTCGAGGCACGCGCCGACGGCGCTGCCGACGCCGCTGGATATGACGGACCGCATCAGCCGCTCGCCCTGCGGCGTCTGCAGCAACGACAGCGCGCCGACGATCG